AACACAAAATAGAAAATAATAATTTAGGTGCGTACGTATTCTTACAATACAAGGTGGACCGACGACCTGATAAAGGTAGCAGGAAGGCGCTGGATGCCGGCGCTACCAACCGTGCGATGAGGATGTCATTGGGGGAGGCCTATGTTCAGCAGTGGACGTCCTGTGGCTAAAATAATAATGATGATGATGATGTACGTATTCTTTAAATTACTTCATCTTCAGCTACACAATGCTTAATGAAACTTTAAACTACTGATGTAAAATTATTACACTGTGGCGTATGACTAAGATTTATCTACTTTCCATGTAAACTAGTCTCGATTATGATCTGATAACGACATCTAGTAATTAAACTCGGGTCTGTTTTTGTCAAAGCTAATGTAAGCCAAGATTTATAATGATTAGGACATTCATATACAATTATACTGTCATGAACTCTGTGACTCACTGCTTGGTTTAACTTTATATAAATGCAATGTTAAAGGTACCTCAAAATACTTAGGCAAATAAAACGTAGTAGGTATAATTACTAGGTACCTACATAGTAAATATTACTTCTATGTAAAAAAGATAAAACGAAAATAGGTAGAAATGGTCTAGTAAAGTACTAAGTTCCAAGAAGAGTAAAGTAAATTGTAAATTATACAGATAATAGTGCATGACTTTACCTACCTATTCTGCAAATTATATCTTGTGACTTAGCACACAATCTTGTAGGTACTTAAATATTAAGAAAAACACCTTATGAACAATCATTCATGTAACTGAACGTCACCATAATCTTTTCCTAAGCATAAAAATATTCCATTCGGAATTATAAAATTTCTATTTGTGTTTAATTTGCTGATTGATCGTTAATTTAACTGCCATTACAGCTGAACATTGACTACACTATCTATAAGCATTTTTATTGATTTCCAGCGAAAATTTTCCACTTTGGCCTGCATGTAACGGTTCTAAATACATTCAGGTTCCAGCCTTCGGTAGGTGGAATAATGGATGAGTTTAAAATTTACAATTATGAACATTACCGCGAACTGATTTAATTACTTTGTGTCCTATTTACATTGCTATTTGTTTTTTTAAACACATTAATGAGCTTTCATAGCTTTGCCCACAAAAAAGAATTTATTTAAAGCACAGCACCTATATTTTAACTACATAAGGCCCCATAATGTTTACCTTGACATGCTGTCGTCTCTACCTACAATGGTTGCAAAATTGCACTTATTCCATTAGTATAATAATACCGTTTCAATTAAAATAGAGAAACACGGGTCTTAACGCAACATTTTTGAGAATTCACTCACAGCTTGACATTTCAGCTGTACAATTCATAATTACCTACTACTAGACAAAATTTTAACTCTCTAGACTCAATATTTCTGAAATTGATGCTCTTTCATCTACTTTAAAATGCTTAATCCTTGTTATATGGATTTCAAAAAGATATAATTTAAGTATAGACCTTTAAAATCTATAACAAGAAAAAAACTCCTATTACACTGCATGTACAATTTACAACTGTGCACTAAAAGCACTGCTGCAAAATATACTTGTTACTACCAAAAATATTTCCTCCCCAAACATTATTATGTTAACAAAGGGCGCTCGGCTTTCTAAAGCCAGAGCCGAGCCAACAAAATAATAATCAATATGCAAAAATACGTAATGGAATCACTCAATCGAACTAATGCACCGCTGAATAGAATAGTGATTTATTACACTCCGAATAAGAAAAATGACTATAAATAGAGCGATGTTAGAGGCGACGACACGACTACGACTTTTACGACGATATAAATGGTATAGGATACATTGAGTACATCCTACTAATATTATAAATTGTCACCCTGTATTACTGTGTTTTTGGCAAATAAACGTTTTGGATTTGAATTTGAATTTGATATGTGAAAGTTTGGATGTCTGAATGTCTGGATATTTGTTACTCTTTCACGCAAAAACTACTGAACGGATTTTGATGAAACTACAGTTAATTGTTTATTATTACTCAGAATAACATACATATAGGCTATAATTTATGACGAAATGTGACAAACTAAATTTCACGCGTGTGAAGCCGAGGGCAAAAGCTAGTAAATTGATTTTTAAAATTATGATCCACCCGTGCTTTGACTTGAAGCATGGTTTTCAAAATAGCCAAGAGACCTTTTACGACGTATTTTTTTGTAAAAAAAATATTTTTTCACGGGTAAAACGGGATCCACGCGTACGAAGTCGTTATCTATGTATGTAATCGTAACAGGAGCTTTTTAGCAACAAAAGTTTACAGTCTCACATTCTTCAGGTGAAAATCGTACCCTGTAAATGGTCCTTTCATAAAAAGTCTCTTTAGCGGATTGTGGGCACCGTGGCTTTTTGCCTGATTCAGATTTATGCCTGCCACGATAATGAACTAGTAATATTTCGAGATCGCTGATATTGATAGATGGATATCTTTAGCTTTAACGTTAAAGCTTTTATAGATTTCGAGATTATCTCCTTAAGTAATGTCTGAAAATGTACGTTTAATTTGATTACCGTTGTAATTTTGCACCATGATTATTGGTGAATTCATCATCATCATCATCGTTTCAGCCATAAGACGACCACTGCTGAACATTGACGAATTAACTTACAAAATTAATCCTATTTAGCTAGGCCATGTATTTAATTAAATAGTTTTTCTATTAATAATATTAAGTTAAATTAATATTCACTGGATGTTTACCTTTATTTCTAGACTGAGTAGATAAGTTTAGCTTAGTGAGAGTCTATTTTAAAGGTATTAAAACTGCTTTTAAGTTATCGTAGGAATCCTACCTACTTATAATATAAATGTAGAAAGCAACTCCGTCTAATTGAAACCACTGAACCGATTTAGATGAAATTTAGTAAAGACATAGTTTCAGAGCCAGGAAAAGACAAAACGTCGAACACACGCGGTGATATACGCTCGTATTCACAAACGATGCTTGCTTATGTGAAGCAGTAAATCGAACGCACAGCGTTGAATAGAGCTCAGTTATTGGTTCGTGTATCACCCTGTGCATCCTCGCGCACTGTGAGAAAATAAAGAAATACGGGCGTTAGTCTTTCTTTGTCAATTCAAAACTCTATCAGGTGAAACTGCAGGCAAAGCTAGTTTGTTATACAACTTTTCCTTCCTTTTCTTTTTCATTTTCAATGTCAACATTAGAAAGCAGTTCACTGAATTACCATTTACATCAAAAATATTGGCTTGTAACTCATAACACCTCCTTACTACCTCCATAAGTATAGCTCTAACCGCATACAGCAGATTTATTACGCCATTAAGATCACTATGGTAGATTGACACGAGAATTCGTAACAAAAATACTTTTTTCATATATTTCCAACGAGCTGGGTTCAATTTTGAACCTTATGTTGTTGAGTTAAAGGTGATGTGTAGATACTATTGGATAATGGGAAGTTGGTCGTATTAACAACTCAATATTTTTTTAAATTAACTTGTCACAGTGTTGTATAAAGAACGGTAGGTTATGTTCGTATGCTCGTACATATTTTGGTATGAAAATTTAGAAAATTTATTTTTGGCTATCATGTAGTGTGCCTGTATAGTTTATTTATATTATTTTTAGTTTCAACCACGTTTCAACCGGGAAAATATTTTTAAGCGTCGACAGCGCTTTAATAAATTGGACGTAGGATTGTGAGTTGTTTGGAAGGAAAAAAATCTAAATGTAGTTATGTGACAAAAAAGTATAATAAAAACATCCTAAATTGATTCAAATCGGACCATAACCGTGTTGTAGTTACCTACAAATATTACATACATACTTTTACAATGCAAATAGACATTACATCTGTCTTACAACCAATTTTAGTATTGAGTGGTAACCGAATCCGCTAACGACCTCAAATTTACTATATCCTACCTATTTCTAAGTTTCAACTAGCACTACCGCACCACACCTGCACTGTGGCCCAAAACTAAGCCTATTGCGTGCGTTTGCGCAAGGCGATTGTAGCGAAACAATAGCGCGCCCAATGTTAAGGTTACGCGCGATTGTTTGTAAATTCGGACGATGGGCCGATAGTAGTACAAAGCTTCATGGCCGGACTAATCTCATCTCGCCTCGATGGGTGTTTGCTCAACTGTGGACATGGTGGTAATGTTTGTAGGTGATCTTTACTGTCGTATTAAAAAAATAGCAATCTATATATAAAAACTCAAAGGTGACTGACTGACTGACTGATAGAGTAATCTATCAACGCACAGCCCAAACCACTGGACGGATTGGGCTGAAATTTAGCATGCAGGTAGATGTTATGACGTAGGCATCCGCTAAGAAAGGATTTTACGAAACTCCACCCCTAACGGGGTAAAACGGGATCCACGCATACGAAGTCGCGGGCGGCCGCTACTTTGTAAATAAAAATTACTAATAATCCCGTTAACTTGTGGTAAGCTACGAGTAATATGCTTGTGTTACGAATAGGTTCACCACAATAGTCGAGCGGCAGTGGGGATCGAACCCGCGTTCCTCGGATCACGAGACACCTTCTTCACCGTTCGGCTATCGTCGCTTTGTGTTTGTAATGGTCAAGGTACTCGTATTAATTTCTTCTGTCTAACGTGATGATTAATTATTTATCTTTATATAAAAAAAAAAATTGCCAGGCATTTTATATTTGAGGTGACATAGTGTAAAATCAACGTCAACCTTTATTTACTGCCCACTCTACTTTTCTATAACTATTTGACCCAAAGTTTAACTAGAAGAGAATGCCAGTACGTCATAAAGTTGTGTTTTTTAAATAATACACTAAATCACTACCATTTATAACTAAGATAGGATTAAGAAATAAAGTTAAAAAGATATTTTTTACGGTTTTTTGAAACCATACAGAAGACAGTAACCGTGACTGTACTGATGTCGGTAGTTCACTACATAATTTAATAAATTACATGGTTTTCATTAATATCGCACCCTTCCTGGAATAAGTACGCAAGTGAAAAATGCCAACTTTTCAGGAGCGTAAAAAAACTGTCCTAAAAATTTATTACCATTATTAAAAATATGTGTTATACATCAAAAGATAGCTAAAAATGTCTGTGAGGGGCCTATGTATTTATATTTAAAATACACTTAATAGGTTTTGAGAAAAACTTCAAAAAGAGCGTTGCGTACTTATTCCGCGAAACATATTTAACACCTTGTTGTTGTAATTATGAATATTGCATTGTTGACATGTAAAGGAATACATGCTGTTTGGTATTATTGCAGATAACCACTTATTGGCGTTCAGATTTAGTCGTGCATTCAACGTGTAAGTGTAGTTTACGTAGTTTTTCCTCGAACTATTCGTATTGAAATAAATTCGTAAAAAGGATAACGTACTTTTACCTTGTGAAAAATTACATTACTTATGGTAGTATTTAAAATTATAGCTTTATTCAAAATCAAAAAGTTACAATATTTTTGCATAACTATATTATAATTTTCGGAAATTGCATTTTTAGGGAGAGACGAGCTATCAAAAGGACTAATGCCCGTTTTCACCATCAATCCCTAATTTGTAAGTGACCTCTATGGTGATACATAACAGGAATTTTGTTTTTATAGGGGTCACTTAAAAATTTGGGATTAATGGTGAAAACGGGCATAAAACTCATTTATTTTTGCAAGTAGGCTTTTATAAAGCACTTTTATAGTTTTACACTCCCCAGTATTAACCCAACCACTGCTTCAGGACATTTTTTTTTACGGAAGCGGTAGATAGATATTTTGTAAAGTTACCATTTAAAACAGAAAATCCACAATCACCATTTGCAGACACCAAACCGAGGAATGAACTGCCGTTTGCAGTATTTGCGGACCAATACGACCTAAAACCTTTAAGAGCAGACTCTAATACTTTAAAGACAATCAACGCACCTGTAACTCACCGAGGAGCGGGTGTCTATGGGTGGCGGGTAAACACTTACCATCAGGTGATTCGTCTGCTCGTTTGCCTCCTTTCCCTTAAAAAACCCAGAAACATAACCACTCACAGGTCCGTTCAATTAGAAAGGAAGTTACAGAAATCACTAGACCTGAAAAAAGATTAACAAACACACAGATTTTTTTTTTTTTAAAAAAGATAACTACCTGAAAAAGAAAAAGAAACAAGACTGACAGTATACTTACCTCATCATGCGGTCGTCTGGAATAATACGGAGACAACTCGCGCACGATTATATTTGATGCTTTGTGTTAAGGTTCGATTTATATTTCACTGAATAACGAACTGCTTGTAGGTTCCCAGCTGCAAGAAAACCCGAGAAATATTATAATGAGATGAAACGTGTTTGCTTCATAGATGACATTATGAAGATGATCTTCAGATTTATGTGACAAAAAATGATTCGGATTACCGGAGTACCGATTTCTATAAAATAATAAAACAATATTTTTATATCAACGACCTTTTATCAAGAGTGGACTGGTCAATTGAAGCTATAATGCTATAATTTAATGAGAACTTACAGAGCAGATAATAATACATCTGATGTGACCATCCACCAGGTTACACTTCAGAGAATGTGCGAAGGAATTACACGACCTAATTCCACCAGCCCCCTTCCATCATCAGACGCTGGTTAACGTATCATTCCTACATTGTCGACATTCCACCAGCTTGCACTAAGCGTTTCGATAAACTCTTTTATAATGCGAACCGGTCGCTGCCTGCTGCTGTCTCTCCTGAGCACTATACCGGACCTTATAGGCACTTACAGGTAGATATCTATCATCTTATACTGCATCTCACTTAACATCACATGCAATTGCGGTCAAATACCTTTTGCTACCTAGTTCTGCGTTGAGTTTATGAAGTCAATAGAAGACAACAAAATATCAGCTAGTGCTAAAGTAGTTTTATGAACCTTGATGAAACAGTCCAAGTATTGGGTATTGAATGGAATTTGAGCACAGATTTCAATTCAATGTGAATATACCACAAATTGCAAAACCAACCATGAAACGTAACATTTTATCTGATACATCTGATCAAACTTTTTGATTCCCTTGGCTGGAGCCTGGAGCTTAGCGTTAATTATAATTTTTTTAAATTAATTTACAGTCATGGCTAAGATTCTAATGGAAATAGAATAGAAAGTATTTATTTGTTTCAAAACAAAAACATTGGCTGATAAAAAACTAGTAAGGATGGAAAGATAAGTAACTCATTAGAAAAAGATTGGATTAAGATACGGCAGGATTTGATTCACATTGACAAAATACAGATATAGGTTGGTATACTATCTATAGATAGAGAGAAAAAATACATCATCATCATTTCAGTCACAGGACGTCCACTGCTGAACATAGGCCTCCCCCAATGACTTCCACATCGCGCGGTTGGAAGCACATAGTACGCAGAACTGACGGCCGATGGGGCAGCAAGGTTATGGAGCAGACACCACGTACCGGAAAACGCAGCGTTAGGTAGGACATCCATCCACAAGGTGGTCCGACGACCTGATGAAGGTAGCGGGAAGGCGTTGGATGCAGGCCGAGTAAAAATACAATATAATGAACTTAGCGATGCCTCTGTGAGTGCAATAAACTGCAGCCGTTCACTATCAACTAGATGAAAGATTTGAAACGAAATTAATTGCTAAAAAACTCAAGTGCTCTCTAAAAACTATTTTTTTTACCACGTCTTGAGCTATGTGGTACTTTGAGTAAACTGGATGAAGCAAATGAAAAGAAGTAATGTGAAGAATACCAACCTCACAGATGTTCGAACATTGTGAACAGGTTTTTCTATTGTGATCGCCTAGCTGTCTGGAGAGACGAATAGGTGGAAATCTATTGTTGCAAACCGCGTCGTGGAGAAAGTCGAAAACATTTATAATAATTAATACCATAAGAAAGCTGATAAGGCTCCACATTTTGGATTATCAAGGCGAAACCATTGGCGAGAAAATACGTGCACAGATGTTTCAATTATGCTAAATTGAATGCTACTGCCAAAGTACAAATAATGGTAGATTTACCAGAACAGCAAGTATCTCAATCTAGACAATTCATGAACAAGGGAGACGATTTTGAAGGACCCTTTTAAATTTTGATGTCCAAGGAAACAAAACTATAGAAGCCTATAATATAGTGACATTTATTGTCTGCATGACTACAAAAGCTACCCACATTGAACTCGTTGGTGACATCACTTCCAAATCCTACATATAAGGTTCACACACGATCAGCCGGCGTGCAGCGATAGCGATTGGCGATCGATGCATTTTAAGATTCGGCCAAACCAACGCGATCAACCGGCGTGCAGCGATGGCGAACAATGCATTTAGGTCTGGTCGCCATCGCTGCACGCCAGCTGATCGCGCTGTGATCGCGTTGGTTTGGCCGAACCCTAAGTCTAATCGCCATCACTGCACGCCGGCTGATCGCTTGAGATTGCGTTGGTTTGGCTGAACGTATAAAGAAAGAAAGAACAGTTTTTATTTGGTCCAAAACTTATAGGTGCTTTTATACGCTTTGTTGAAGAGTGGCCGGACCTGTGAAGCAACCAGAATAGGAACTTTGTCTGAGCGAGGAGTTTCATAAGGCCTGGAAATAAATGCAATTTACTGAACAAATAGCGTCAACACTAGGATAGGCACTACATTCCAGTGGCAAGTACAATCTGTGGAGGTCTGCGAAAGGTTGGCGTCCAGTCGATCAAGTACCACCTGAAAAGAATACAGTCAGTATTCGCTCATCGTACATACAAAAAGATGGCAACAGTTTTGTATCAGGTTGTTGCATTTTTAAACGTCTGACCATTACGAGTATGTCCTTTTGATTACAATAATCCTTAAAATACATATAAACTTGTGTCATTTTATAATTGGGGACACACCTATTGTTGCTTACTGCTCCAAAAGACGTATAGATACTAGATACACACCTTGTCATGCTGGCAATACACGCATAAGCTGATAAATGAACTCATGCGGCTCTGGAAAGATGAAAATGTATCACGATAACTACTATAACGATTCACTGAAGAGAGAGACAGTATTTAAAATGGATCTTGTACTCATAAAGACCGATAATTTTACCACGTCGTAAGTAATCATTGGGATGAATTTTTGATAAACACACAGTCTTACAGGGGTATTTAGTGCAAAAAATAGTGGATTGGATACTTAAATGACTGAAGCTAAGTTAATTTGTGCTTTGTTAATGACTAAATTACATCTAAATAAATGTATCAATATCGGTATAAAATACTACATCGCCAAAAGTTTCGCAAAATATTAGCAACTAGACTTGCACAAAGATATCTACGTAGAAAATAACGTATCAATTGTTATATATTATTATGTGAATAAAAGCTTCGTGGAAGAATTAGGCATCTAGACTTGCACAAAATTACCAGCACAAAAGTTTCGTGGAAAAACTACGCAACTGAACTTGCACTACGACACCCACCAAATAATATCCTAAAATAAGTATGCAACAATAGATACGCGAAAATGTTTTTTAAAGTCTTCGTGGAAGATGTATGTAAATATTAATATGCTATTATTCATACGGAACTTTATTAAACAATTAAATGCAAATATATTTACTTCGTTATTGTTATGGAAATTTAGATATTTTAATGTTGCAATATTTTACATATTTGTACATAATTTCTTCATTTTTTGGAGAAAAATTATGAAAAAAATTGACAATATGTATTACCTCCTCCTCGATTTTATAGTGCAATAAAAAAAATATCGCACAAGTGGACTTGCATACTTCTTCCAGGGGGGGTGCGATATCTCTACAGTTAAATTACATTAACAACCGCGTATTTCATAATGAGGACTCGTTTAAATAAAGCAAAGGCAATGCAAAGAGATATTAAAATTGAAAAATAAATACACAAAGCTTGCAAAAGCAAGATATAATAAGATCCTTGTGTAAAACTAACCAGTCGTGACTCGCAGCTTTCGCCTGGATAGGGATGGGAAATGAACTATCGATAATTATTACCTAGATATTTTTATGGATGCAGATAACACACTTTTAGTGAGTGTAAAAAAATAGATTTTTTCTGGTTCCAAGCACTAACACAAAAGCATAGATTCATTTGGAAACTTTCAGCTGAAAAGTATTAATAATCTCTAAAAAAAGATTGAATCGTAAATGGAATAAACATATTGCACCACATCGTTATAATGATAGCAACGAATGCCATTAACAAAATAAAATAAATACTTTACAATACGTTACTTCGTGCTGAATCTTTCTTTTTTATAAATAAATAAATAAATCTACTCTTTAGTCCAGTCATTTGGTAGTTTTACCTGGAATGTTTTCCGGGAGTGATGAAAATTGGTATTTCTATAGATTTCAATGTGCTCTTTACGAATTTCAACTTTGCGACCTCGCATGGTTGCCATATTGGAAAAATGCTGCCTAGTAGCAGTTTTTCTTAAATGTTTCCTTTCGGATTAATTTTACGACAAAACATGCTTAGAGAAACTAAAACAAGAGAAAAATTCGTTTTTTGATGTCTACATAACCTTTTTGTGAAATCAATAGTTTAGACGTAGAAGTGCCAACAAGCCCTACCACCAACAAACCCGAACAAAAGAAACTGCTCCCACTGGGAATCGAACCCTGGATCTCTGTGTCTTACGGCTGACCACTAGACCACAGAGGCGGTAAAGTTCCAGGTAAAGCCATTATTTTGTACCAAATGACTGGACTACTTTTCGTTAAACTAATACAACACGTATGTTCCTAATATGAAAACCGTTCTGCCAAATGCACATCACTAAAGCACCTCGGGCTATCAAATCGTATCCACAACTACCATAGCTCGTAGAGGCCTGTCACTTAATGCAATTCATTGTACGAAGACCCTAACCTTCCCACTATAGCCTGATCCCCCATCCCCCCTTCAATCCATACACCACACGTACTTATCCACGAAACTTCATACGGCTCTAAAGTTCTTAATAAACTGGAAGTCAAATCGCCTGCATACATTGGTCCACGCAAGCTAGAGCTCCTTGGAATTGCTTAGTTAGAACTAAATCAGGATTTTGAGAGGGTTCTGCAAGGAGTGTAGGGGTCTAATTGATTGGTCATGTCAGTCGAAGCCTGCACAGTAAGTTTCTTGGGTTGAAAGGATTGAGAATAAGGATTTTTTTACAACTATCATTTAATTATCATTTACAAAAGAACAAAAGCTTATTATAAATCTATTTTATAAAATAAATCTAAAATAATTACTCGATTAAACTTAAAAACACTTCAACCCAATTTACTTACATAAAGTAAATTAAAGGTCGAGGGTTCATTTTGCTGACAAAAACAATAGTTTTTTTAGTAGGTAGTTCTTATTAGTTTGAGATGTTGTTATGATTAATTAGGTATATCTCAAACAACAACTGCTCAAACCTTTCCTGAATTTACAAAAGATATAAATTATCAAAAACCTTGAAGGATATTCGATTGTTTATTTTAAAAACCCTTGATTGTTAAAGACGTGCATTGAAGAATACTGATGAATGCCCCCTGTAATATGAAACAAAAAATCGCTTCATCATTTTCAGATGCGTTCGTTTTTTGTTGTAACTTGAAGAAATTATCGCAATTTTGACAGGGACTGTCGCATTTAATATCGCAAATAGTGACTGACGCGATACCGTGGTAGCGGCCAATCGTGTAAATTACGTAATTCATGCAAATTCCGCGGCCTCTTTAAAATTCCGGAAAAATAATAAGCGGCGCGTGATTTGGGCGCAAAGGACTTGGAAATTGGAGCGTAAAGAATTGTTTTCTTGTCATGTTCTTTTGAGGTGTTTAAGAATAAGTAGGTAAAGTACTCTCCCGAAATCTTTTGTGAGCGCGTTTAAATTGAAATAAATTTTGAACAAGCTGAAGAATGTTTTACATGAAAAAGTAAATTGAGAGAAAAAAAAGAAATTCTTAGTCACTGACTTAGGGCTCGTTCCCACGGCAATTCAGCTTTGCTGGATCCAGTAGTTCAGGATCACACATAATGTGTGTTTGAAATCTACAAACGGGATGTTCGTGTGAACGTTAATATTAAAATGGGTGGTACTAAACGGTATCCTGCAATAAACGAGATTTATCCGTGGAACAAGCCCTTACTGACTTACCTATACTTCTTTACGGTTCAATTTAGATCGTAAGTTCCCAACTATATGTTTTTGATTATCGTACTTAATGTTATATTTTTATTTTGAGATATTAAAGAAGATCCATTTTCTTTTTTAAATATATAAAATGATGTTGATAACCAAT